GCGCTGATACTGGGGCATTTTTTATTTCTGTAATAAAAGAAATAACATTAATACAGCAAACAAAATATGCATTGTAGAGTAATATGGCCACGTAAGATAAATATGGCCATGGCCATATAACCCTAATTTTCACCTGGCCACATTACTCAACACTGTGTTTTGATATTTTGTCTAAGAAAAAATGTATTAAATCAAAATTTATACAATAAAATAAGAACATGTACTTGATTTTGAAGGTATACAAAACATATAAGTACAATTAATATATTAAAAACTTACCTATTAGATTCAGTTAAGATTTTTTTAAAAATTACGAAATTAATAACCAGCTTCTGCAATGACGAGTTTTCACAACAATGGTGTATGGTTCTGACGTATAGAGAATGTGGCACCATCTGTTTAACAATTTCAGCACTAAATGTGTATTACTATGCTAATATCAAGAGTTCTACCGTTTAAACATAAAAATAGTAAGAAATTTGTTAGATAGCCATATTACTGTACATGGCCATATTACCTACACCTACCTTAGTATTATTTATGAATTAATCTCCAACATGTGAAAAAGCATCTGTTTTGAGACTTTTAAAATGTTTAATAAGATTCTGAAATGGAATTCTAGTGACATGTCTAAGTTAAACATCGTGTTTATACGGGATTAAGCCACAATTGATTGATTGATTGTGGCTTAATCCATCACCGATTTCCACTCAGAATATCGTTTTTAAAAACAGATTATTAGAGAGCTTATCTTTAATTCCATTATTAGCAGATATATTCATGCAGGATTTCGAACAAAACATTACACACAAACAAGACAACCCAGTATGGTAGAGATATGTAGGTTACATATTCTTCATTCGGCGTCACGGATAATAAGCATTGAATAAATTAGTGATGGACATTAAATATAAAGAAAAAACATTTAAAGTCTAAAATTCACCATGGAGAAAGCAAACAAAAAGACACTTTCTTTTTTGGATCTGCTAATCACAAAAGGTGCAATATATGTACTAAGGCAAACCAACGAAAAAAGCTATAAATATGACATAGAACTACACATATTGCTCATCAACTTCCAAGAGCCTTTGATAGCATATATAGACATCAATTATTAAAAGAAATAAGAAGGATGGGAAGTAATAGCAAAGTTATTAAAACTGATTAAAATGACAATGAAGGACTCGGCAGCGAAAGACAAAACAACCGAACACCGTGGTTTAAGACAAGAATATAGTCTGTCAACGACGTTATTTAAAATCATACATACTAGAAGGGGTAATAAGAGACGCAGAGCTGACAACATCAAATACAAAGCATAGGATACGCGGACTACCTAGCATGGGTATCGCCTGACAAACAAAAGGTAAAAGAAACACTTCTGACGTTGACAACAGAAGCAAAAAACAGAGGACTAATAATAAATCAAAGCAAAACAAAATTCTTAATGTACAAGAGACGATGTAAACAAAATAATAGAACTAAAAACCGGTGAAAATAAATTCCAGAGAGTCGATTACTTTAAATACTTGGGTGTGTTAGTGAGCAGCAACAATGAAAGGAGTGTAGAAATAAGTGAAAAAATTAAAGCAAGGAACGGGATGGATTATAAATATCATCATCATCATCTTTGGCTCGACAATCCTCTGTGGATCTTGGCCTGCTCTAAGATTCGTCGCCATTCTGTTCGGTTTTTGGCAACATGTTGCCATCTTCTGATTTTTAATATTCGTAAGTCGGTTTCTACTCCATCTAACCACCTAATTCGCGGTCGGCCTTTGCTTCTTGTTCCTACAGGTGTTCCTGTGGTTAGCTTTTTAGCAATTGTATTTTCTGGCATTCGTATTATGTGTCCAGCCCATCTAAGTCGCTGTGTTTTAATGAACGTTATGACATCTGGCTCATCAAAGAGCTGATACAATTCAAAATTATATCTTCTGGATTATAAATATCACCGACTGCTTAAAGACAAAAAGCTAAATAAAAAAACAGACAAAAATTATATAAAGCAGAAAATAGACCGGTGATAGCATATTATTATGGAGCGAAAGTAATGTGTCTTACGAAAAAAGATGAAGAAAACTAAGAATAATTGAAAGAAAATTTAATAAAAAAATATACGACCCAATAAAGACAGAACAATAAGAATATAACAGACTGATGAATCATAAAATAAAAAATATAACCGGAAGGGAAGACATCGTAAAATTGGATGGTTTGGATACATACAAAGCAGAGAAGAAGACACCCTAATTAGAAGGGTAACGAACTGCAAACCAGTAATAAACAGACCAAGAGGAAGATGAAAATTATGATAACTATGAAAGATAAACTCCTAGATGATATATCAAAGATATAAATTTTAAACTGGAAAGTACAAATTCACGACCGCAGAAAGTGAAAACAGATAGTAGAAAAAGCAAAAAACATTCACGTCGTTAAATGGATTAAAAAAGCTCACAGAATTGAGCGACCCTTACTCTACCTAGAGTCATCGGTGTATATAATCCCAAAAGAGGATACATCATATTTAACCAAAGTTTACAGAAAATCAACCGACGTCATCAGATATTTAAATTACCACCAAAATCACAACGCAAACATAAAAAAGGGAATTATAAAGTCATTAATGATAGATGCCAAAACATTTGTTGCACTGAAAAGTACAGGACGAAAAAACCTACAAATAAAGGTTTTAACGAAAAATGATTGTCATTCCTAACTAAGAAATTCAACGAAATAGAAGACAGAAAACAACAAAACACCACAAGTAATCCAGAAGCACTTACAATAAGGGAATCAAGGATGACAATAAGGCCATATAAAAAGGGCTTAACAAAAAGTTAAAAAGATAGAAAATAAGTAAAACATCACAACAATATTTAAAACAACCAATGCAGTCAAATCTATATTGTCCAAAATCAAACCTAACAACACAAAAGAGAGATCAAAGAACTGCTTCCATAAAGTACCCTATGAATGCAACAATTTCTATGTGGGAGAAACCGCAAGACCACTAATTGTCCGGATAAACAAGCATGAAATAAATATCAAAAACTGTGATCACCAATTCTAAAAACAACAACAACAACAGTCAACAACAAGAATATAGCATCCATAACGGGTATAAAAAAGTCTGAGACACATCGTCTATAATATACACAATACGTATGCATAATTGTGGCTTAATCCTATATAAACATAATTTTTATTTTAAAATATTTGTTTATTATCTTTTGAGTTTGCCCTTTTAACATAGTATGTTATATAAAAAGGTATAATTGTTATCCTTTTTTTTTCACTTTTACATCTTATGTAAGACTTTTATGTATTTAAATGTCAGACAATATTCTGAAAGTTAAATTACTTGAATAATCAATTATTTTGTTGATTATAGCATTTTTTTATACATGAGTTTATTTTTCAAACATATAACAAATGTCCAAACTTCTGTCCTACAAAAATACTCAAATATCTGTAATTGCGAAATGTGTTATTTTGTTGCCTTTCATTACTCAAATGATTTATAATGAACGCAATAAAATATTTAATGGGAAGATAGAGAACTTGGAATCGGATTCACTACTGCTTGCCAAACGACTCCATCGTATGTTATAAATTCTTTTTCCCCCTTTTGTCAACTGTAGTAAGTATTGAAAGTTAGAACTAAACATAAAAGCTTTCCCTAATGTCTCTGTTTATTATACAATTATAATTGATCTCGTGTGGAATATCCAAATAGGATTTCATTTTTTATTTTATTCGTTTAAAGTATATGTTAAGTCTGTATGTGCCTCGGTGTTGCTATCTTATTTGATATATATATATATATATATATATATATATATATATATATATATATATATATATATATATATATATATATATATATTAAATATTTGAAACCTAGAGCTTTCGGGTTTAACCGCGTCGATATCCATTGGGCTGAGCTTTCGACAACCTTTCTGATGCCGTCATCGTTCGTACAATTGGTGTAGTATTCGATGAAAATAGAAAAAAGAAATGGGAGCTCCATGCCATAATAACGAAGAAGAATAAAAAATTACGTACTTTAAGAGTCCAAATGAATTTAAAATACGCTTCTAGACAAATCATACTCAAAACATATAAAACAGTAATTAGACCTACAGTAACATATGCCTGCCATACATACACATTAAATAAGAAGGAAGAGGATAATCTGAAAAGATGGGGAAGAAAACTATTGAGACGCGTATTCGAATAAGGAAAGACAGAAGACGAGAGGGAAGAACCAGTAATGAATTAATGAGTTTGTATAAAGAACCTACCGTCACTAGGTTGGGACATGTAGAAAGAATGGGAGCGAACAGAATGCCTAAACTAGTAACGATCAGGAAACTAGTCGGTCCCAGAAGAAGAGGTAGGAACAGAACGAGGTGGATTAATAAAGTAGAGGAAGGCCTTAAACACGTCTAGATAAGGAACTGTAAAAGTAAACCATAAACCAGAAGCCTGTTTGAAATGGAAAAATATTGTTCATCAGCTCCTTTACAGCAGTTAAGAATTTTGTATAGGGTTAAATTTTATTAAAAATAATTGTAAATAATTAACCGCTCAACCGTTTCTATCTCTCTCTGTTGTCAATTCTCCATCGTTTAGGCCTCTTACTCATGGCGTCGTCTACTTTGTTCCTCTAGGATCTTCGAGGTCTTTTCCTCTTTTCCTCCTTCCTATGGAGCTCCGTTCGGTTATTCTCTTTATCCATCTGCTGTCGCTAATTCTTCTTACATGTCCATACCACTTTAGTCTTTTTTGTTCTATATATGTTAGTATGTCTGTTTCTAGTAATTACAATATTATTGTAACTATACCAATAGCTTATTTTATTTTTCTTTCCAGATATACTAGTATATAAAAAAAAATTTCTTTCTTAAAACCTTGTGTCAATTATTGTGAAAGATTTTGTGCTGTGTGTAGTTTAAAACAAATAGCATCTAGAAACAATTAAAGAATACGACATGGGGTGCAATACAAGTAAAGAATCAGTACCAGCAGAAAACGAAAACAAGGAAAACCAAGATGGAGCAGGTGACGCAGCTGTTGAAGATAAAACCGAAATCAAACTTAAGGATAACAGTACAGGAGCAGTAGAAAATCATGTTGAAGGTGAGTTTTCGATGATCAATTTTTATTAACATTAAGAGGTTTAATAAAACTTTAATTAATCAGAAAACAGGTCGAAAAATATTCAAATTTATATTAGTCATTTTATATCAAAAACATTTCGTTGCAAGCATGGGATAGTGAATCACGTGAAAAGTCGTGGCGCAGAAATATAAAATTTTTTTAGGGAGACATATAATTGGAATTGAGTGGTAGTTATTTCGAATGTGGCGTTATAAAATTAATGAGTTGACATATATGAATATCACCAACCCAATTCAACTGGGTATACTTATATCATATTATTAAAATACAAGATTACCGGTATATACGTAACAGTCAATTTTTCTTCTTCGTAACTTACTATTGTAGGTTAGTGGTTACAGTGTAAAGCTTTCTGTATTTTTCACTGTCAGCTGATGAAGCTTTACCAATTGCTTAAGCTAGTATTTGAAGTTGTAAACGAACTACAAATTACGAACTGCAGGGTCTTCAGTACAGCTTGGCTGTCAGATAAGGTAAATAGTATAATCAAATTGAGGAGTTTTTTTAAAAATATTTGACACACCAATATTGCTTTCTTGCTAACACCAAAATTTACCTTATCAACCTAAAAAGCAAGCCGGTTTTAGGTCAGGTTATGGTATTAACGATCTGTTACTAGTTAACTAATAATATAATATTTATATATCCGCAATGTTTCTATTATATTAGATACATTTAGTTTTGTTCCAGTAGTCATTGTATCAACATTCTCTAATTTTCTTCTGAATATTATTAAACTCTTATCCAATGGCAAATAGACTGTTTATATCAAAATTTACTAAAATATTACTTTAATTAAATTCAATAGTGATTATATTAATAACGGCTAATTACTAAACTTAAAAAAGTTCCGACTAGCGTGAAAAACAATTTAGGACTTGTCGGTGACGTCATCGCGGGGCGTGACCGGTACGCGGACGGGACTTGTGACGTCAGGGGTCAAAGTTCAAAAAGTGCGGCGAACCATATCCCTCTCTACTTATGTTATGTCAGACTTCACCCTGAATTTGCAGTGTCAGTTTGGTCACCTCATTTGCAAAGAGACATTTATTTATTAGAAGGAGTACAAAGAAGAGCTACTAAGCTACCTTTTAGTTATGGAAGGTTAGACTATGAAACACGACTAAGAAAGCTCAAATTGTCTCCATTAACTCATAGATGAGAAAGATATGATGTCATATCTAATTATAGAATTCTTAGGGGGATTTTTGGGGAACATCTAACTTTTTTAATATTAACGAAGATGCTAGACTAAGAGGTCATAACTATAAATTGAAACAATTTTAAAACCACTGTAAGGCAAAACTTTTTAGTTAACCTAGTTTTAGATAAATTGAACAGTTTAAGTGATGATATAGACGAAGCTACTAGTTTAAATAGTTTCAAAAACAAGTTTAATGGAAACGAACAAAATATTGTACCTAGTATTATGTTAACTATATTGTTTGATTTCTTTTTCTTTTATATATACTTTGTAATATTTGTATTTTTGTAATTTGCTATTATTGCATTGCTAACATTTTGTAAGTATTAATTCTTTTGAAAATTATTTATATTTTTACTTTGTGAGAAGATTTGATTTATATTATATTATTTAGTTTAGTACATACAAATATTTTGTAATTTGGGCCACATAGGCTCTGGTTTGGCTCGATATCATTATATTATAATAATAATACTCATGTTACTCCTGTTATTCCCAAAAATCACCTAGCGAACATAAAACAGCTGAGTCTAAATAAACATCTTTATAAGGCCATACATAAAGCTGTACTCCTCGCGACGTCCAGATGTGTACGAAAATTTTTGGGAGATACTCCAGCATACCAAGTCACCTAGGGCTCGATAACACGGAAAGAGTCCCACCAGAGTTCAATGCTTTTGATGCGGTAGGTATCTGGGATGAGTTAATTTTCCCCTTAGAGGGAGTGTGAGCCGTATGGCTAAATCTGGATAATACTCAAAAGCAAACTCCAAGCACATAGTAAAGGCAATAAACATACGCAATACCATCTTTCACATAGTCCTCATTTGCCGTTATAACATCGTCCAATACGGAAACTGAAAAACTAATTAGACCAAATAGAACCGTGATAACTAAATACGCATCAACTACACGAAATAATACATCCAACGTATGACTACCACGCACACAAGGCGGGAGAAGAACGTAGTGTTTTGGAAATATCACCCACTACTTTAAAATAAAAAATAAACAGCAAAAAAAACAAAGACAAAAATATATAGAGTAGCAATTAGACCGATGATAGTATACGGAGCGGAAGTAATGTGTCTTACGAAAAAAGATGAAGAAAAAGTAAGAATTATTAAAAAAATATATATATAAAAATAAACAGACCAATAAAGCCAGAACAAGGAGAATATAAAAGACTAATGAAGCATGAAAAAAGAAATATAAAATATAATCGAAGAGGAAGACAGAGTAAAATTAATTAATCCATAAAGACTATTTTAAATAACATTTCTGTTATTTCCCACTAAAATAATACAAAATACCAGATCATTTAATTTTTAACTATCAACAAAAATGTAATATAATATGATGTACGAATTTAATGGTAATGCGATATTCACATATACAGCCGCCAGTATAATAATTTCTTTGTCGATAAAATTGTTTAGATAATAAATGTTTATTTAAACTTTGATGGTATACAAGGCAATTATCGAACACAGTAATTAATTCAATCTTGCCCAAGTACTTTCGATCAATAGATTATCTTCAGGGGCATTTCGTCAGTTGTGGCCTATCCAACGTGAGCAGAATGTCATACATGTAAATTTGGACATAACAATACAATACACAAAGACAAACAAACACTTTAAAATTTTTAAAAGGAGAAGCTACATGTTATATAGAAGCCGGAGACAGAATGATGTCATTCTGCCAAGACAGAGAAAAAAAAAGATATAGTTAAGCAAGAGTGTTATGATGAGTCCACCAACCATGCCCAAAAAATGATATAAAAATAACTTATGAAAATCTAAATGCAAAAGTTAAATGATAACACCAATTTCAACCCACACAACAATCAAATGACAGTGGCAATAGGTTTATAAATCTAGCAAGATCACTTAACATGTTGATTGCCAGCACATACCTCGCTCGAAAAGATATACACCAATGCACCTGGAAGTCACCAGATGAACTTACAGTAAATATGATAGACCATATTATTGAAGACTCAAGACACCAATTGAATATAATAAACGTCCGCACCAGAAGAGGGGCAAATGCAGATTCTGATCACTACCTGGTCGAAAGTGGGATAAGGGCCAGAATATCAAACATAAACACTTATACACTTTTCGATTTGTTGTATGGTCGTAAAGTAAATTTACCGGAAGATCTCACAAAGAAAATTCAATCATGCTGTATATGACATTGATGCCTACTATAATGACCTCCGGGATTACAATTTGCTCACGATAGGGCAAAGACATTCTTAGTAACACAAAAAGGGAAGGCAAGATATGAATAAGCAAAAAGCGGTACCTCAACACTACCTAGATTTGATCAAAAGGAAACAAAATAGTGGATACGTAGGCTTTTCGAAATAACAGAAATAAATAATATGAACTGTAAGATTAAATAAGATAAAGGAAAAATTAAGAAGGTACATACAAATGTAATAAAAAAGACAATTAGTGACTTTACGAACGAGTGAAAGTTATTCAGGTATTTGACGAATGAATAATAAAAAATAATTGTAAATAACCTGTCAATAATTGTAAGAAGTGATAAAAGACTAAGTAATAAGTGTAGAAATAGTGATAAGATAAATTGTACATATACAGTGCTTCTCAGATAAAACTATCCACGTGTCCACTTTAAATATCATTTAAACTTCTAATTTTTAGGAAAAACGTAAAAACACAATTAATATTTGAAGGGAGAGACCTAATACCATATTCAAATTTGATGGGAAAGGCAACCCTCGCCCACGTATCATCCCTTTATTTTTTTTTAATTACCTTACCCCTTCTTTTTATTCTATATTTTTGTTCTACTTTTTATACTGATTTAAAAAATGTATAATACATTCTGCTTAAAGTGATTAGTTTATGAGGTAGACAATTTTTTTTTTGTTGACACTTTGCAAGACAGAATCGAATTTGTAAGTTTATACTACATAAAAAAATAATTGTGCAAAAGCTGTACAGCAAAAACATACCTCTTAAGTACATGATTGTACTAATGCAGAAATTTAGAGCAACAGGGCCAGTGTGAAATAAAAAACATAACCGACATGGACTCGTAAATAACTAATTAATCAAAGTAGCCATTTTTGCTAAGTTAACTTAGAGGATGACAATCACAGTTACTGTGAACAATAAGCAGAGCAATAAATGTTTCACATTCTACAGCCTTCTGAATTTTCCGTAAATTTAAGTTTTATCAATTTAAAAATCAATTGGTACAAATTCTCGAATGACTGAAAAAATCAGTCTCGAATTTTGCGAATTAATGACACAATGCATCATTAATAATCTACAATTGCCAAGCAACATTTGCTTTTTCAATGCTTTTCATCAAATGCCTTGATAAACAGACATAATTGCCAATACTGGGCTGAAAGTGATCTACATATTGTGAGTGAATTTCACACACAGCATCGTCAAAGGTTAAACTTATGGTGTGGCATCTTAGAGGATCACATTATCGGACTGTTTGTTATCACTGTAAACTTAAATGGTGCATCGTATTTTGAGTTACTTTGGTAAGTGGTTAATCATAATAATAAAATAGTAGAAAATGAAAATATTCTTTCCAAAGATTTGGTTGTATTTTAACATGATAAAGCTCCTCCACACTTTAGTGTACTTGTGCGACAATTTTGCGACAATTTTTAAACAAAATTTTTTCCGCTTGTTGCATAGGTAGAAGAGGACATATGATGGATTGGCTACCTAGGTTACCGTTTTAACATCCTAGACTACTTTTTATGGGGGTATTTAAATCAAAAATCTATGATACTCAACCAGAATCTCTGAATGATTTACGACAAAGAATGATGAATTTCGACAATTAAGTGCAGACTTGGTAAGAAATGTCAGAGAAGAATTAGATTGTACCATTGTATGGCAGTCATTGTGAACAAATATTATAAACATATTGGTAGCTAAATGTTTACTCCAAATGTTTTTAATAGAATTGTTAAAACAATAATTTTTCAATCCAACTTTCTTGATTTTGTATTTATTTTTCTCATAAACTAATCACTTTAAGCATGTGATTAGTTTATGAGAAACATTTTTAAAATCATACTTTACAGTATAAAGAAGAGAATCTAAGTATCAAATAAAAAAGGTAAAAGTAATTTAAAAAAAGCGATGATATGGGGGGTGAGAGGGTGCCTTTCCCAGCAAGCTTAAGTTGACATAATGTCTTCCTCTTCAAATAGTAATTGACGTATTTTTACGCTTTCCTAAAAATTAGAAGGTCAAAGGTTATTTAAGGTGGATAGTTTTATCTGAAAAGCACTGTATATATATTAAGAAAAAGATGATAATACTTGTTTAAGATAAAAACTTCCCTTCTCCCGAAGAAGACAAGAGTAGGCAAAAATAATAATCAAACCTGAATTTATTCTTTAACCAACGGTGGTGTCTTATAATTATACTGAAATAGTAACCTATAATTATAGTAGAATCGCGATAAGTCATTGAATAATTTTATTTAAGTCTGGCACACAAGAAATTAGGTTAATCTTGGTTAATTCTAATAAGTCACAGTTAAGCATAATTAACACGAGTTAGTATGGAGTAAGTACGGAGATAAGTATGGAGATTAAGTATCAAATAAGTAAGTAATATTCCAATTAGAGTGAACCTGTGATTGAAGTAAACTTGGGAGAAATAAAGAATGTGTGTAAACTAATAGTTAGTTTATTTAGGATTTATAAACAGTAGACAATAAATTATTTATTGTCTACTTCCCATTCTCCGTCCAATATAAGTAAAAGGGCTCCAGATGTAAAAACATACATATGCAACACACAGTGTTTTTATAATACACCGCTTAACAACGTATTGGTTGTTAATTGGTTACAATTTTCGCACAATTTGTAAAATATTTTTTTTTGAAAACGTTTTCTAGAGAGAAATTCGAAACATAAAACGAATAAATGTTATTTTCATTAAAATCAATTTTATGTTTTTTTTATTAAGTGAATTTTGGCGGGAAAAGTTATATCTACATAAAATCAGATGTTTGTTTATAACAACTAATTACAATTGAAACTTAGGTTCATTTTTATATCAGATTGTACAGTTTAGTTAGTTTTAGAAACTTAGTCACTTTGTCACATTTACTATAGTTCAGAGCGCTTTTCAGATCACTCGGTAAATCACTTTGAAGTCGTTCCAGGTGATAAGTAAGCAACTAAGAATAATGAGATTGTCAGAGGAATATCACAAACATAGTACAGTTTTTATTGTTCTTTCTTCATTAGGTACTGGTGGGTTAACCTGGTATGTCCTATTCTCAAGAGGTGTTGTATGACTTGATCTCAACATAAATGGATACGCCGCCACTAGCTTTACCAGCGTTTGTTCTAATTTTATGACAGGCCTGATATTTTTTTAATGAGTATTTTTTATTTGTTGTGAAATTTGTCTCTTGTAAGCAGATAACTTGTGGATTTGTTTCTTTAATTAAAAGCTGTAGCATTTCTATATGTGTAAATACGGATTAAATGTTCCACTGAATAATAGCCATTTTGTTTTTTTTTTATTTATCGTTGGAAGGAGATTTTTTCTGTGATGCATCAGTATCTTCAGAGGTGTCATCCTGAATACTAAAATCTTGGTTTTTTTACTAAGTAGTGTTTTCTTGATTCTTGTAATTCTAGAATTAATTGCTCTATAGTTCAACATGGGATATATTTCGGTTAGCATATGTCCTAACCCGTGTATCTCCTGTGTGTATTCTGGGGCCAGTTCTATTGGAATGGAAGAATCGTGAAGGTCTTCTAAGAATGCTAGTAATTGGGTGTAATTTAGTACATATGGTGGTGATGCATCCTGAATAAATTGTTTGACTGGTTGTTATAACGACTCAATATTAGTAGTTTCTGAAGTGGTTTTGTCTAATTTGATATTTTTCCTTTTTTTAATTTGCACTGTTTTGGTTTCGTGAATTCTGTTGTTATAGTTTCTGTAGGAGTGGAGCAAGGTGGAAATGACACTTCTTACTGGAGTAAGATCGTTTATTTTTATTATCGGTATCAGTGCTGACTTGTGCATGTATAATTTGATTTTGTTCGGAGCTAGTGGATGGTATTTGTGGAAGAAAATTTTCCTCCTACTTTTGAGTATTTTGTGGATAAGAGGGATTTGAGATACAGTCCGAGGAAACGTGACCAGCTTGGTGGCATTTGTAACAAGTTAGTTAATCGGAAAGAAAAATTCGGTACGAAACATTTTCAACATCAATTAGGACGAAGTCGGGTACAGTAAAATTGTCTGTAGGTACAAAGCATGATACTATGAATAACAAGATAGGATCTCTCCGTAGCTCAAAATCGGTCGGGTTCGCGCATGCCGTCATTGGGGAGTAGAATTTGAAATCTTGCTAAAGTTAAATGGGATTTGTATTCATTCTGTGATGAAATTACTAGACGAAAATAAGTTAAGAGGTTTAATAATTACAATAGTCGTACACATAAGGATATCTCCAAACTATTTATTACAGATTACTTATTGATATATACAAAAAACTGACATTTCGAACGTGCAACTCTCCAATGACGTCACAAAAACATGCGCAATATCTTATCTTATAGTCATAGTATCATGGTACAAAGTAAACGTATCTTCGAAAACTAAGTACATGACTGTATTGCGGGTCTTGTATTCCAGCTCTAAGGAACGAAATGAGAGACATTTATTTAAAACCAAGATTAATTAAAGACTGTTCGATTATGTCATAAGGTACAGATGGACATACGTTTCATAAAATTAATCTATTAGCGGGTGTAATTAGTTTACGTGCTTTGATTGTATGTTCTTCCATTTTAATTTCATTATGTTGACTTAGAAAATCATCTACGACTTGTGTGCTTGAAAGGTAGATACATATTCTTCCGTTTGACATTTTGGACAAGAACAGTAAACTTAAATTAAACTTTTATTTCAAGAATTTTAATTTGGGAAGGTCCGACTCTGTTTATTTAAAACTAAATAGTCGATCTAGCAATTAGGAAGATAATGACAAGAGTTGAAACTAGTTTTTTAAATAATTAATAAATAGGAAATATAAATAATGGTCTTCGTATGTATATAAAAACAATGTTTGTAATAGGGGTAATAGGAGTAATAGGAGTAATAGGAGTAATAGGAGTAATAGGAGTAATAGGAGTAATAGGAGTAATAGGAGTAATAGGAGTAATAGGAGTAATAGGAGTAATAAGAGTAATAGGAGTAATAGGAGTAATAGGAGTAATAGGAGTAATAGGAGTAATAGGAGTAATAGGAGTAATAGGAGTAATAGGAGTAATAGGAGTAATAGGAGTAATAGGAGTAATAGGAGTAATAGGAGTAATAGGAGTAATAGGAGTAATAGGAATAATAGGAGTAATAGGAGTAATAGGAGTAATAGGAGTAATAGGAGTAATAGGAGTAATAGGAGTAATAGGAGTAATAGGAGTAATAGGAGTAATAGGAGTAATAGGAGTAATAGGAGTAATAGGAGTAATAGGAGTAATAGGAGTAATAGGAGTAATAGGAGTAATAGGAGTAATAGGAGTAATAGGAGTAATAGGAGTAATAGGAGTAATAGGAGTAATAGGAGTAATAGGAGTAATAGGAGTAATAGGAGTAATAGGAGTAATAGGAATAATAGCAGTAATAGGAGTAATAGGAGTAATAGCAGGAGCCAAATAGGCACTGCCTATTTGGAAACTGTACTTACAGCTATTAACAGACCACTGCTTCTATATATTTCGGTTTATTATTTACATTTACACTGTTTCTCCTCAAAAACTATAAAAGTTGTGGAGCTCAAAGTATTTCGACTTGTCTACATTTGAGAGTGATTTAAAACTCATTCTAACAAAGATCCCAATTGTGGTTTAATTTTATATAAATATATTTAACTTAGATATGCCGCAATACAATATTTTCAGAATCGTTTTAAATATACTCCTATGTTTTCTTTTCATTCCCTTTGCACATAATGATTATGAATACCTTATTCATTCTTTCTAGTATTTAATTGCCTACTTCTCCTAATTACTTTATTATGACTTGATATATGACGGGATTTATATTATCTATTTTTTCTGTTTCATAAAAAAGTTTTAATTTTTAATTAAAAATAAATAAAGAAGCGTTACATAGTTGAAGAATGCCGCAGTCGTATTTATCTTAACATCCAATCACGATGTTCCTTTTATCCATTGTCGTGCTAACTAGAGCACCATTCAACTTTTACTGTTTATTCGAGATAAAACCAATACCTACCAGAACATTTATTTCGGTGTGTTGTTTGTGTTTGATTCGTAGATAAAAGTTCTCTTCTACAGAAATGAAACTCTACGATTTTCGTTGTGCTAGGCACGAAGTGGCTTTCGTTCAACTTCTCGATTCGATAATTATTTTTATCACTAAGGCCTAGGTTACTAAACTTGCATGCATTAAGCAACCTTGACAGATAACTTGCATTTAATATGGATTTTTCTGTTCTAGTTAGGAAAACAATGACAATTTATAAAAAATTGAATATATAGCAGACGAATTTTACGATACCAGTGGTTATTTCCTATAAGTATCTCTTCTATTCTTACTACATTTTTAGGCTCATAAAACTTATTTTTGACTAAAATTATAATGTATTTTTTAGTAAATTCTGTTAAGCACATTGATAGTGCATGGTTTTGTATATTGAATTTTCTAATATATCTTGGGAATAAACTACAATGATAGTTATTAAAATTACATGTTTTTGTTTTGACGTTTCGTTAAAAAAAAAAAAGAAATTATCAACTAATTACTACGATTTTAGAGCTAAAAGTATTGAAATATGTTATGTACTAAATTGACATCAACTTCTGATTGTTTCACGTCTTAAGCCATATGTGTTTTTTTTATTAACAAAATCGCATCAGCCAAATTGGCTATTAGCGAAACAATGATAGCGAACAATAATTTGTATTACATTTATAATGTTAGTTTAGATAGCATTTAAAACGTTAATTGAGGTTAAGAAAATTTTTATGTTTAAAATATTGCACTGTAGACCTCAAATATTACTTAGTTTGTTCGGTATACTGTACAACAAGCTCTTTGGCGTTAATGCTGGACATTTCTCTAATATATGTTTGATTGTTAATTTTTCATCACAGTTGTCACACCTTGGTTCTTGTTTGTTAGAGAACACGTAGCTATTCGTTAGCCTCGTTAATACTACCTGGTCTCTACGACTTGTTGGTAATGTGGTCCAGGGTCTTATCGATTTTTTAACATCACGTAGTTTGGCCGATGACACTTTCCACTTTTCTTCCCACATATATCGCACTTTAAATTTAACTGCCGCTTTCACGTCCGCACTCGTAAATGTTTTAGTACACTCCTCACTATCACTACTTGCAGTGTTGTCTGCCTCTTCATTTTCTGTATAATCAATGTAATATAATCAATAGTATATCAATATCAATAGTATATCAATAAAAAAAAAGAGAAATCACATGATTTCTACCTGGCGAAATCGAATTCAAATATAGGCCGCCGTGCTCCCTAAGACTTGCGAAGCAGACAGCTTGATGAATGCATCGGCAAGGGAGTCTAAAAATTGCACTCCAAATGCCGTCCATCATGGCCTATATTCGTAGTGAATTCGATTTCTGGTACTCCAAATGAAGTAAATAAACAAAACAAATGACGGTATTATACTTTGATTTGATACAGAGCAGCAACAAGCCGCATATACGTATTTCGATCTCTTTAGATCTCCTCAGTACGGTATAGTTACTACTCCATATCAAACCAAAATATGATATGGAGTAGTAACTATACCGTACTGAGGAGATCTAAAGAGATCGAAATACGTATATGCGGCTTGTTGCTGCTCTGTATCAAATCAAAATATAATACCGTCATTTGTTTTGTTTATTTACTTCATTTGGAGTACCAGAAATCGAATTCACTACGAATATAGGCCATGATGGACGGCATTTGAAGTGCAATTTTTAGACTCCCTTGCCGATGCATTCATCAAGCTGTTTGCTTCGCAAGTCTTAGGGAGCACGGCGGCCTATATTTGAATTCGATTTCGCCAGGTAGAAATCATGTGATTTCTCTTTTTGTTCTTAGATGGCGTAGTTACGTCCCTAAATAGTTATTTTTAATAACTATGATCTACGACGGAAAAATATTTTGGTTTGATATGGAGTAGTAACTATACCGTACTGAGGAGATCTAAAGAGATCGAAATACGTATATGCGGCTTGTTGCTGCTCTGTATCAAATCAAAATATAATACCGTCATTTGTTTTGTTTATTTACTTCATTTGGAGTACCAGAAATCGAATTCACTACGAATATAGGCCATGATGGACGGCATTTGGAGTGCAATTTTTAGACTCCCTTGCCGATGCATTCATCAAGCTGTTTGCTTCGCAAGTCTTAGGGAGCACGGCGGCCTATATTTGAATTCGATTTCGCCAGGTAGAAATCATGTGATTTCTCTTTTTGTTCTTAGATGGCGTAGTTACGTCCGTAAATAGTTATTTTTAATAACTATGATCTACGACGGAAAAATATTTTGGTTTAATATGGAGCAGTAACTATACCGTACTGAGGAGATCTAAAGAGACCGAAATACGTATATGCGGCTTGTTGCTGCTCTGTATCAAATCAAAATATAATACCGTCGTTTGTTTAGTATATCAATAGTATATCAATATAATATTTTTTCCATTCATTTGAGCGGTACGGATTTCTTCTTTTATCTTAATGAATAAAGGATTAGTTGGGTAGACATATTGGGTTAACTGGACGGAACTTAGAGAGTCTGTGAGTATAATATAATTGGTATTATTAGATGCGTTAACAGCAAGGGTGGCCTGCTATAGAGCATACAGTTCAGTAGAGTAAATCGAGTACGGTGAAGGGAGTTTGTATTTATTTGTCGATGTTGGGGTTATGATTGCAGCACCAGTACCTTCATTTGATTTAGATACATCTGTGTATATATGTGTATAATTCTTGTAGTTGTGAAGCATATCGTTAAAGGCGGATTTGATTAACTGTGGATTTGTTGAATGATTTGTCGAAAGAAATGAGGCGGGTTAGGCACTGGGGCTTCTTTAGTTGCCATGAAGGAATTGAGGATAAATGGGAGGAAAAGCATTCAGGGAACGTGTAGTTTAATTGATTTAAATAGCTTCTAATCCTTGCATAGAAAGGTTTGGCAGTTCATGGCTTATTTATGAAGAGATTTGAGAACTTTTCTGTAAAATAAATTGTGAATAGTGGGAATAGTTTTTTGGGTTAGACCTGATTTTTGCGGCGTACGCTACACTTAAATAAAGTCTTCTGTTTTCTAAGGACGGTTCACCAACTTCACAATAAATACTTTCGATTGGTGTTTTGCGAAAAGCTCCAGATATTATATGCAAAGATAGGTTGTGAAGACTGTCAAGTTTTTTTAGCAATGTTTTGGTGGCTGTAGAATACACAGTAGATCCATAATCTAATTTTGATCTGATTAATGTTCTGTATAACATTAAAAGTGTTTATCGATCCGCACCCTATTTTTTATAAGGAAGAGTTTTAAGAAGATTTAATTGCTAAATAAGATAAGATCAAATTTGTTATATGAAGTTTCCAGCTTAGAGTTTCTTAGAATGTCATGCTCAAGAATTTTATTGACCCGTGCCTTTGTAGGCGATTTTAGATTTTTGAGAATATCATTGATTGCCACTATAACGAGTGTAGGAGTTATAAACGAGCCTTGAGGAATGCCATTTTCTGGATACATTATATCTGATGTGTTGTTTGTCTCAACTCTGAAAGCTTTATTTTGAAGGAAGTTTTTAATAACGAAGAGTCAGTGACCTTGGATGTTCCAACTATGTAATTTTTTTTTATTATATAATCATGCCAGGCTGTATCGAAAGCTCCTGATATGTCAAAGAAAACCGCTAGACATTTATTCCTTAGTGCTAATGCTTCAGAAATGTCACTTTCCAAATCTATAATGTTATCTATGGTTGACCTTTGCTCTCTAAAATCACTTAATTCTGGAATAATTAAATCTTGTTTCTCCAGGTGCCATCTTAGTCTATTAATAATAATTTTTTCTAGTAACTTACACATGGCGTATGTTAAAGATATCGGTTAGTATGACTCGGAACTTGTTCTAATACTATTAGGTTTTTGTATAGGTATAACTGTGGATTCATGCCATTTTGAGATGTAGCTAAATAATATTAAACATATTTAAAAGCTGTTTGTGAGCGCTATCTGGAAGGTGTTTATAAAAATACTAGGAATATCGTCCGGGCCAGCGCTAGTTTCTTTGAGATTTGATAATGCTTCTGTTTACTCTAATTGAGAAATGGGAAAATTTAATTCCCCATCCATGTTACCCCATTCATGGGTTACATGAATGGGGAAGTGATCACTGTCGTGTAGTGATTCTAAGGTATTTCAGAAGAGATAAGTTGACAATGATTGGCTACATAATGCCAAATCAATGGCGGAAAATGAGCCATTGTAAGAGTTAAATCGGGTCGATTTTCCATTATGAAGTAGTATTAAGTCTGAGGACTCAAATGATTTAATAAATTACCGAATTTGTCAGTTTTATGACTTGCCCATGCTGGATGATGGCAGTTCATATCACCTAAAATTATTTTTGGGTTTGGAATTTGATCTATAAGATTTTTAAATTCTTGTAAATCGAGATCGTTGGGATGAGACAGAAATATATTGCAAATGTTAATTTGTTTTTGGTAAGTATCTGTTATCTATTTGTTATTAATAGCATAAATGAGGCTGCAGAAAAGGCAATACCTGCTTTTAAACCTTTCACTAGTAAAAATCATCTTCCGCCTCCTTGGTGGGATAATGAATGTAGTAATGTTGTGAATAACAGAAGACAAGCTATTAAATTATATAAGAAATCTCCTACAATGGCCAATTATATACAATGCCAAAAATTTGTATCAGAAGCCAAAATATTTCTAAAAAATAAAGCTAAAAAGAGCTGGATTGATTGGTGCTCAAAGTTGAATAAAAATATACCATCAGCAAGCTTATGGAATCAAGCTAGAAAATTAAACAGAAAACCAATTTCTTCTATAAAATGTTTTGACGATTCCTTAGAAGAACAATTTTTTGATCAAATTGCTCCACCGTCTGTAAAAAATTGCAAAACTTTTGACTATTCTTTCAATAAGCAATATCATTTTTTGTTGGAATCTTTTAATACCTTAGAATTGGAATTTGCCTTAAAAAATCGAAATAGTACTAGTCCAGGTTTAGATAATATTAAATATCCAATGTTACTATATCTTCCCAAAAGTGCCAAAACTTTACTATTGGAAATATTTAATGATATAATCATGAATAATTCAGTAATAGCTCAATTTCAAGATGTAATCATTATCCCCATACTCAAACAAGGGAAAGATCCTAATTCCGTTCACTCATATAGACCTATCTCACTTATGTCTTGTGTACTGAAAACTTTGGAACGG